GGCAGCTGAGCCACGTGATCACACCAGCACCTAGGCACTCAGGGCCACTATGCCTACTCCTGAGCCCATCACCCCGAGTTAACCCACAGTTAACCCCCCATGGAGGATGCTCCCGGCTCCCCTGCCTCTGCAGGGGCTTTTGGTGCTGGGCCGCTAACCTCCCCCATCCCTGCATGCTCCCCCTGTCCCAGGGGGGCCCAGCCACGTGTACAGGCCTACACAGACTGGAGCGTGCACTCCCTGACCCGGAAGCCCCTGCCTGCTTCCAGCCCTTCTCGAGAGCTGGCATGCGTGCTCCACGCATTCACGAGGGCTGGCTCCCTGGGGAGCTCACAGAGATGTGGCGTCAGCCCCCTGCAGAGGCTGCTGCTGCCTTACATGCAGGGGTCCATCTCTGAGTAGCCCAAGGGGCCCTCCCAGGAAGAGGTTGGCCACTGTGTGCTGTAGCGGCCACCCCTGGACCCACAAGGAGCCCAGAACGTGCTGACCAGACACCTAATGGGGGCTGGCTGAGGAAGGAGTGAGCGGAGGCCAAGTACTGACCCTGGGCCCGTCAAGGTCAGAGCTGTCCTGGGCCCATCCACACAGCCTCTCCGGGCCTGGCGTTGGGCCCACGAGCTTCCAATCCTGCTTGACCAGCAGTGGGCCATCAGCATCGGCGCAGCACCAGGTCTAGCTGTGACACGGGCATGAAGCTCACTTCCCCACACACATTGAGCACCCACAAGATGGCAGCCATCACCCTGGAGGCATGAGATCCACAGGCGAGCTCTGAAACTCCTGTCCCCACACAGACACCAAATGCCAGGTCCCCATGAGATCGCAGTGAGGTCCCTACGTTCAGCAGGGCAGGGGACCCCGTGGAGGTGCTCGGCCTAGAGTGAGGACAACCAACGCTGGCCATGCACCTGAGACTCCGGATCCAGGCCACCCTTCACCAGAGCCAACCTGTCCCAGATGTGCCTCCTACGCCTCCAGGCCCACCAGCCCACAGGGCATGTCTTGAAAGGTATCCACATTCCGAATGGGCACCCAGGAATGCCTGCCTGACACCCCAAAGCACCTTCACCCACCCAATAATTAGAAAAGCAAACAAAGCCCCGCCCCCAAGGGCTCCCACCCTTAGTGGCAACTCTGATGGACCCCAAGCCTGATATCCGTCTTTGTCGCTCCAGAACCAAGCCCCTGCCGCCAAGCATGTCCCACTCGCTGGCTCCACTCTTCCGTCCAGCAGTAGTCAGCGGTCCTTGGCAAGTGCCCAGCTGGGTGGTGGAGCTGTTATCACTGGTAGGTATCATCAAATCGGTTCTGACTCACATCCACCCCTTGCACAGCAGAAGGACACATGGTCCGGTACTGACCGGTGGTCCTAATGGTTGCTGTGTTTGAGTGCACCGTGCGAATCAGGAAAGGTGGGCATCCAGGTGGACAGGGCCCTGCATTGGCAGGAAAAAGCCCTGTCCCGTCCCAGCCTCCCACACAAACTGGCTGCCTCCCTGTCCCCATCTCTGGGACTCTGCTCTCAAAGGGTTACTTTATGGGACAGCTTTGCCCCCCGGGGGTGGGGGTGGATGAGGACCAGTCTCCTAGAAAATGTCACAAGACAGCAACCCCATGGCCAGTGCCCACCTCCTGTCAGACAAGCATCTCCCTGACTGTCCCCAAAGGCCCCATCATGGAAAAGGCCCACAGCAGTAAGAGGCTGCTGGAGTGGCCCTGGCCTGCCAGGGGAGGGCACTGCCCACTGGTCCTCAGCAAACACTTTCGAGGTATCGGGATGAATGAAACCCAGCGAGCCCCTTCGCGCCCCCAGCACAAGCCCAGGTACTCACTTCACCTGCCCTTCCCACGCTCAAATGGCACCTCCTCTGCCAGACCTCGTCACCAGATACCCCTGCTAAGGCGTCCAGCTGGTGGCCAGCCCTGAGGGCAGTGCCCTTGGCTAACTTGGCCCCTGCTGCACCGTGTCCTCCGGATGCAAGGGAGGACTCCAGAAAGGACCGGTCTTGGAACAGAGGAATCCTCAAGCTCCCTCCCCCAAAATGAACCCCACCCCCACCTCCCCAAACACCCCTCCTCTAACTACCTCAATGGGAACCCTCACCTCTGCCCCCACTCGCTGTTCCTGCCCAGACCCTGAACAAAAGCATGTCTTCCAGTCAAATCGAAACCACTAGAGTCCGGGGACTGGCACCCCCAGCCCCCATGCTCTGTAATACATCTGAGCCCTGCCCTTGTTGCTGTCCCTGTGCAGATGCATGTGTGGAAGACCAGGTCCTGGTCACCCTTCCCAGCTGCTGGTCACTCCAGGGGCCACCACTCCAAGAAGGGTTCCCAGGAGGACCAGATCTCCAGGCATCCTCTGCCTTCCTCTTTGTCACCCCCAGTCCCCAGAACGCAGTACCCTCTGCGACCAGAGTGGGACCTTTTCTTGCCAGCTGCCATAGAGAACAGAGGACACCCCACCCCGCTCAGTCCTCCAGCTCCCCTGAGACCCAGAGCCCTCCTTCACCTCCC